CTGAAACAGGCTCCAGGCTCTGAGCTGGCAGTCAGCACAGAGCCTGACGCGGGGCTCGAACCCACGAACCGCGAGATCATGACCTAAGCGAAAGTCGGACGCTTAACCGACTAAGCCACCCAGGCGCCCCATCGTTGATTTTTTTTTTTATTTTAATCCATCATTTTCCCCATGGATCTAATCTCCAGAGGAAGTCGGAGAGAGGCTTTCTGAAGCTGTCTCTGCCCATGTGGATGGACCACACTGAGAACCACACCCCGGCAAGCCGCTCGGGGCCACGGGTGCATGAACACGGCTTTCCAGGCCCTCCAGGACCCCCCAGGCCTCCCAGGCCCCTCCAGGCCCCCCCAGGCCCCCTCCCCGGCCCCTCCCAGCTCCATGTCCCCCCAGGTGCCCTCCAAGGCCACACTCCCCAGATGGCCATCCCATGTTACTATTTTTTCTAAGTGAAACGTCTGCAAAGAATAAAAAGCTCTTGGGAGTAGCCGTCCTGGGGACGAGAAGCCGCGTCCTGTGGGAGGAAGCAGCCCCTCCAGGTTCTCCCTGACGGGCTCTGCCTTTCGGTCTTCGGTTGTCAAGAAGCTTCACCTTTGCCCCGAGACAGCACCGTGGCCGCGAGGTCCCCGAGTGGGCTGCTTCCCCGATCGTTAAGAGACCCAAGTGAATCCCCAGAGGATGGCGGGTCCCTGACACATCGCAGGTTTTGCAGCCTTTTGTTTTCTCCCTGAATCATCTGTCAAGCTCATCGGCTGGGTTTCTCCGGGCAGTTTTCGCAGGAGCCCGGCAGATGCCTCCAGCCTGGGCACAGCTGTGCCCGCCCCAGGGACGGGCCACACGCCGTGGCCGCCCTCTGTCCGTCCCGGGCGCCACCGGCCGCATTTTCCTCGGCGGCTGACCGGGTCCTGCAGGAGGCTTGCAGGAAGGTGGTGTCTGCGGAACAAGAGGCTTTTGAAGCATCAGGTGAATGTGGTTTACATTCTTTACCTTAATTTTAACAAGTATTTCAGCCCCCTTGAAAATTGCTTCTCTAGAATAATAAACAGAGCCCGCGCTGGGTCGCAGGCTGACCTGCAGAGCCGGGCAGGGATGGGGAGTACTCCAGCTGGGCTCCGGAGGCCGCCCGGTCTCGGGGCTCAGGCCTGCATGATGACGGGGCCACCGCACTCCGCTGGCCCTCATTCTGGGAGGTGCGCTGGGACTGGCATGGCCTCGTGAGGTTTTGGGTTACACGTAAGTGCAATCATCCGTAAGTCATCGACGTGGAGAGTTACGGAGGGAAGGGGGGCAGTGGCTGCCTGTCGGGCCCATTGCTCCTCGAGCCAGTCTGTGCCCCCAGGGCACGTTCATCGCTGGTCAGAGAGCAGAGTTAG